CGTTTCTAAGGGAAATAAACAGGTACCTGTCCTGACCTCTCTGTGGTCTTTCTAGCCAAAACCAGTAGCCAGTAGATTTCTAAGGAAAATAATAATAAAGAGAAATTGGAAATGGTCACGAATGTAAACATGAATTATGAATTTTTCAAGGAAAAAAGTAAAAGAAAAAGAAAAAAAAATTATAAATGGATACGGGCCTTTTAAAGAAAAGGTTCCTGAAGTGAAATTCTGGGTTTACAGAAACCTTAAAAGGAATGGAAAAGAAATGATTTAGATAGGACTTGAAAAATTGAAACAGAAGGTTGAAATGAGAACTTATTTTAATCTGTAATTCTGCTGTCAAACTCAATCCTGGTCTGCACCCCAGTTTTGTTCTTACTTAAGTGTTTTACCTTTAGGTAGCCTAAAGGGGAAAATACACACAGCTGTTCTTCTCCTTCAGGAAAGCCAGCAGCAAACTCTGTTACAATGTGCTGGAACAAGGGCGCATCTGTAAATCAGGATTACCTGTAGTTTTTTCAGCCAACTCCATTATTTAATGCGTGAACTAAGATTCGTGAATCTGAAGGTAGATCTGCGAATTACTTGGAAATACTGATCGCACATCAGAGCACTGTGTTAAGCAAGTGTGTTTAAGAAGTATCCAGTCTGTTTGGTGATGCTTCCTTTTCCATAGTAACCACTTCACATGGGCAGCAGCTTGAAGGGGAATTCCACCATGTTTTCAAAATTTCTGCATAATTCAGTGGTTGTACCACTTGTTGTTGTTCAGTGGATGTAAACAGGGTCATTCAGAGTGGTTTGGTGTGAAACGGTTCACTGTACAGAAACTTGCTTGTTCAGTTTTCTTTACAGTGGTGGTGATAGGAACCAGAGGTCACAATATACTATACTACAACACAAATAGAGCCATTTCATTTACTATCCAAAACCACCAGTGACCTTACACATCATCTGAGTTTTATATGTAATGTTGATGATGGTGAAATAGTGTCAAATCTGAAAAACATGTTCTTTGTAGACTATTTTGGGTTCAAAAGAAGTCTGAGGAACTCAGACAGAGACATACAGCAAAACATCTTCAGTTAGATGTTTTACAACAGCGTAAAATCTGTTTACTGTAGCTTTTTTCTCGGTTTATTTATTGTAACATTTGACATTTTATGAGCAGCTGTTAATAAATTATTATTTTACTTTGTTTATTCTATTTTAGATTGTATTTTTTTCCTCTTTTGTTTTCACATGTACGCTGTCTTTTACACTAACGTATTTTTATAGGCCGAAACCACATCATGAAAAACTATATAATAGTCAGCATCTTCATAACAATTTCATGTGATAACTTTCTGTGAGGGAGCTTTAACACTCTTAGAAATAAAGGTAGTATACTGTCACTGGGTCAGTTCCCCTCTTGTCACTGGGGTTGTTCCCTCAAGGGTACATCTCGGTACCTTTAGTCAGGGAACATAGTTGTTCCATAATCCATAGAAATTATATTTTCTAAGTTGTATTAACTCCACTCACCCCGTCTCGTCTCCAGGCTTTTTATTTTATTGTTCTGTTTTAAAGCATTTGGTTATGAAAAGGTAGAAATATGTAGTTTTCACCTGGAAAAAATGTATTTAAGGTTCACAATTAGAATTTAAAACCACTGTTGTACCTTTGAAGGTACATTTACATTGTTTGTACCTTGACGAACGAAATACCTTTATTTCTAACAGTGTAGAGGTATCAAACTCTTAAAAACTTGTCTGCCTTAAAATGTTGATTTTATTAAACTTCAAATAATTAATAAACTGAATATAACACGATTCTTATTCTGTTAACTTTCGTTTTGATATTCATTGAACTTGTTTTTTTTTAGATGGTTAGTTCACTTATATAAATTAAAATAACTGTTTTAAAGTGCAGAGAAAGGCAGTATATCTAAAAGATCATTTAATCTTAACGATAATCAGGCGAAGGCGAATCATCGGTCAGATAACTTTATTAGCTGAATCACATCGCAGCTTATTTCACCTGTGTTTTAGCTGAAACAGCATTTGTGAAGAGTCAATTAGCCAAACATGATAAATTTGCTAAACGATGTCATTAATTTTGTCCATTAAATCTGTACTTGTACAGTGAAAAATGAACTTGAGCTTGATGTTAACTGGCACTCTCTATGGTTGAGCTGTACTCTGTACATCTGCTGCTTGACCCTACACATCCAGTGTGCAACAGCTTTTAGAAGTTGAGAGTTATTTCTTCTGTTTTGCTTGATTATTTAAATGTAATTACACGAGTTGCACAATAAATTACATCTGCATTTCATTTACAAGCTGCCACAGTGGAAAATGTGGGTAATGCAGAAGATATGTTCAAAAAAGAAGGTGAAATGTACAGAATAATAACCTGCACAGGTTTGAACTGCCAAAAAGTTTATTAAAAAGATACAAATTATATTCTATGGCAAAACTTTGTCACACTTACATCCACATTTCAGAACTTCTGCTTCTTTATGAGCAGGAAACTGTGTTTAGCTAATGACTATAGCTGACCTGTCCACACTCCACCCACAAACACGTTCCTTCATAGCCACCGGTTGGACAAGCTTTAGAGAATGATAATGAAAATCCCACTCAGCCTAGACACAGTGAGTGTGTTTACATGCGCTCAATAATCCGATCATAATCGGATTTCTGCAGTTATCTGATTATTCCAGAGGTCATTTAAACAGCATACTCCGATTTCTTAGATTGGAGTAAAGTCTAGAAATCTGATTAAGAAATATGATAAAGAGAGCTGGATTTTAGCTCAGTAATCAGATTTCTCAGTGCATCTGAACTCTTACTCTGATTTCTTTCAGATTTCTCAGTCTGTGCATGTGTGAAAACAGACCGCGGTACCATAAATAAGCAAGCAGCATCACCGTGAGATGCAGCAAAACACTTTTGGAGCAATGATGAAACCGACTACATGCTTGACAAAATAAAGGATTTAAATATTCTTCATCTTCTAGGCGATGTATGTTCATAGTTTCAGGTAAAGCGGCGAAATTAAAAAAAAAAAAAACGTCATAAAGTTTTACGTTACGTTTACGTCTCGTCTTCCTCTGTGAGTTTATTAGCTGGTTGCAAAGCAGAAATCTGATTACTGTCTGACACATGCAGACCTGGAGTTTTCACATTATCTGATTACTCAAGTGCATGTAAACACAATTGGATTACTGACGAAATCTGATTTTCAGATCAGATTATTATATGCATGTAACTCACTCATTGACTCGTTTTTGTCAAAATCCGGAAATTAAAAGGGTGTTTTTTTTGGTAAACGTGTGAAAGCTCACACAGTTAGGATAGATCGAGTGTAGTTTTGTGTTCTCATGTATTCAAGTTAATGTTAGTGTGGGGGCAAATTCAGCAATCCAACCTTCCTACTTTAGATTAGTTCCAACAACAGAGTGATTCTAAACATAAACGTAAATTCATTAGACTGAATGATATTCTTACCAGGAAATAAGTTAACCCTTCTTCAAATTTTAGAGCACAATTTCTATTTATTTACTGAATTTAATATATTGGGGGAAAAAAATAAAATATGTGGCCTGTGCTCATTTTATATTTCATGTTTCCCCTAAAAAATATTGTAACCTCAGCAAATAAAGAGAAACTGCAATAAAGCAAGAAGGGCCTGGGTTTGATTCCCCGGTCGGGTAACCAGGGTCCTTTCTGTGTGGAGTATGCATGTTCTCCCCATGTCTGTGTTCCTCAAACAGTCCAAAGACATGCTGTGTGGCGAACTAGAGATGCTAAATTGCCCCTAGATGTGAATGTGAGTGTGAATGTGTATGTCTGTGTGTCTGCCCTGTAATGGACTTACGACCTGTCCAGGGTGTTTCCTACCTTCCGCCCAGTGAGCACTAGGATAGGCTGTTAGATAGTGTGTGTGTGTGTGTGTGTGTGTGTGTGTGTGTGTGTGTGTGTGTGTGTGTGTATAATTTGACCAGTGGTGCCCCAACTTTTACATACATTTTAGTTAAATGTCAGGTCCTGGATACGATGAGTAAAAAAGCACAAAATAAGCTAAAATGCTAAAAACAAACCGCTTGGCAACGAGGAGACTTCCGCTTTAGGGGAATAAACCTAAAAAGCAACATAAAGTATTACGGTATAGACGATATATCACCCAGTTTCTACCAAAAACTGCATTTGTGGGCGGCGCATGGACAGATCGATTACCCTCTATTCATTTCTCAGTCTCTGTAGAATTTCATTTCAAAAACCCACTCTCTTAATAAACACACGACACGTTCAATAAAGCAGAATATAATGTGAATAAATATTAAGAAAACAAATCATTGTGAATTTTCACATTTTTTTGGTCAGACACACATTTACACCTGCGAATATAAGATTAAATATAAAAGCTATAAATATAAAAGCTTGTATTAGATGACTGACTGGGATTAGCAAAGCCTAAAAGCAGGTGCTCCAGCAGCGTCTAAACAGGTCCACAATGCTAAAGCTCTTCTCTAAAGTGCGTTCGTAAGTGTAAGATAAGCACAGTATGCATCTCTGATCTATAAGCGTATGAAATCCTATGACATGCCGGCATGGAGCGTAAGGCAACTCATGGGGACGGAACAGAAGGATGCAGAACCATGTCTGACCACGATCACAGGCGTACACTAGAAAGTGTCGGGAGGTCTCCGGTGAAAGACAAGGACGTGACGTCTTCGCTTGAGTCTTGCTGTGTTTTTTAGGCACAAAGGTCCCACAAGAATTTAGAAGAACAATACCAAGAGTGGAGGTTACTGATCTCCACCATTCACATCAGCTCCACCTCAGTGTGACTGCAGTACATATTGTAAAGAACCTTCATTTAATGAAGTGTTCTGTCCTCTTCAGTTGCGAGATGCCCATAAGTGCGCTTGATTTTTCGGTCCATAAATGCTTGTATGAAAAAAAAAAGAAACAAAAACAAAGAAACAGAAACTCTGAGAAGGTCCTTTTGTTAAAAGCCTCTTTGCTTGTAGCTGCACCTCTTCAGTGCAGTCTGGATAAGCCTGAGCTGATGAGCTTTAAGCGGAGGAACCGCCCCGACCTCTCTGTGGTCCTTCTAGCCAAAAGCTCTACCCCGATAAACACGGCGCACCAGTCACGTTGTTGTTCTGTCCGTCCTCGATGGCTTGGTTTGCCTCTTTTGTGATAAGGTCATTGCCTTCAGCGTCTGCTTTGGTTTTCCTCAACCTTTACAAACCGAGACAAAAAAAAGAGTCAAGTTAAGTTGTTGTTGTGCGCTGCTGATAAGAACAGCCCAGTCTGTGTCTGTAAGTCAGACAGAGATACAGTTTTGGTTGCTTTGTCTCCAGCAGGTTGATCATAATTATTACTATTATTATTATGAACACAGCTGAAAAATGTACTTTTACACAACACAGCATGATTTTAATTAACCCCTAAAATCCCAGGCTTTATACATACTAAGGCTTATTTTTTAGTTTCTACAGGGACTTCAGTGCAAACTGGCTGAGCTACTCTTGACCACAGACTTGACCACAGCAGAAACCTTTTTGGTGCTATCTAGAACCATATACAGCACATTCTGTATCAATCTGAAGAATGTTTTATTATTATTATTATTATTATTATTATTATTATTTAAAATGTACAAATATGATGAAGCGATTTCAAACGTTTAAACACTAGCGTATATATGCTGAAGGCAAAGCTGTACTTTAACCTCATTAGGCACTGTTTCATTTCAAATTCGATGTTCTTGAATACAAGGAGACAGAACTACATGTCAGGTCACTGTTCACATGCATATAGAATGCACAGAATGAATTTACCACTACAATATACAAGGAACACATAAACTTATTTATGTATATAAAAGGCACATATCACTGCTGTCAGAGCAAAACCTTAAATCTCCATTTTTGTTGTTTTTCAGTTTTTGACATAATTTGAAAATACCCGTGGTCCTTCATATTGTATATAAATTTCATGGTGAATGGACCAACAGAAATGGCCCAAAATGACTTGGAAAAAGTCTGGTTCCATTGACTTACATTAAGAGTAAAGTATGTTTTTTCCTTCTCCTGTAAAGTTACCATTTTAGCTATAAGTAGTGAAATGTCTCGGGCCTACAGCAGAGATTTAACTAAATCAGTATGCACTTGTGATTTTAAACCCATTTTCCATTTTTAATATTTAAATCTCCAGTCAGGAATTGTGAAATCAGTGCTGCGGACCCCTGCAGGGGATTTATGAACAGAAGTGTGATGAACAGATACTGTATATTTTGGTAAGCTCTGTCATACAGCTCTGTAGTGTTGTTGTGGGTGATTGCTGGTTGGGGAGCCTAAAAATGACTTAAATAGAAACTTTGGCTGTAATCGCAACGTTTCTCTTACTTTTCTCTGTTGAAAACGATGAAGTCTCTCTGCACGTTGTCCAAGCGCTGCTGGAGCTGACCGTTCTGTGGAAGAAGAGAATTGAGCATGTAAAAGAACACACTGGCAAGACATATCTCAATAAATAAATAAATAAATAAATAAATAAATAATACATATTGCTTTGCTATATATAATGCACAATTACTGTTTATTTCAAACAATAAAAAAACTGTGGCCTGTGTAAACGTCATGGCAAACGTTATATTATTTGACTGGTGGTTAAACTTTTGCATTTGACTGTATCTCAAATCTAGCCAGTGTTCTTTAAGTACTATAATATCCACAATACACTCAGAAAAGCATATTGTGACAGCAAATTTGTGTCATAATTAATCAGAACACAATGAAATATTGTCATATTGCCCAACCCTACCTTTAATACATGAAAGTGCAGCTCAAAGTGTTTCACGGTATTTTTAAGTAAGATGTAAATGTAAATAAAGATGTAATGTACATAAAGCAGTGGATGACAAAAATGTATAAAAGTAAAATAATATTAAAAGAAAAAGTAAAGAAAAAAGAAGCATTATAATAGAAAGAGTTCCACATGTTTGCTTTACTTTAACATCACTACTCAAGTACATGACTGCATTGTTTTTGTTTTCAGACAAATACCAGGGATCCTTGGAAACCAGGAAGCATTACATTTTCTTAATTTTACATCCCATCTGAGCTGTCAGGACACTTTAGGGGGAATTCCACTGATTTTTTTAAATTTCTGCATAATTACATTGTTAAGACAGACGGTTCAAACAAAGTCATTCCATTGTTTTGAATGTAGATAAACGTACTGGGTTAGTATTGCTCACAGTGGTGGTGATAGGAACCAGACGTCTGAAGAGTTTAATGTCTCTAAAAGCTCCCTCGCATAAAGTTATTACATGAAATGGTTACGAACACACTGCCTGATGACTGAGTCATTGTTTTACAATGGTTTTGAGGATGTTTTGGCCTTAAAACATAATTTTTAAACTCCATTCATAGCAGAGAGGTACCTGTAGGACATTGTAAGGCAAATTATTTCCCATAGAAAACAGATTTAACGCTATTTTACCATCATCAGAATTACACATAAAGCTCAGAAGACACGTGTAGGTTCACTGGTGGTTTTATGATAGTACATAAAATGTCTATATTTGTGTTGTAGACATTGTGACCCCTGGTTCCTATCACCACCACTGTAAAGAAATCAGTCAGTACGTTTCTCTACAGTGAACCATTTCACTTAAGACCAACCTGAATGACTTTGTTTACATCTCAACCACAGAAATATATGTAAAATTCAGTGGAATTCCCATTTAAGCTGTGTGGAAAATGCTGTGAATTTTCTCCAGATGGTATGATCCATTGTTTTATTAGCAAAAGGGAATAAATCACAACACTATTCAATGTTATTTATCAAGCAGTCTAAATTCACCCCCTCTGACAGTTCTTTTTCCAAAAATGGAAATTATCACCCTTAAAGCATCGTCATTGGCTCATTTATCAATCATTGTTTGTTGATATCCAATTACTTCACCCAATTACCCAGTACTGATGTACCATCCCAAAGGTATTAGATGGAGCTCCCTCACTACAGAGAGGCACTGAGCATGGCAATGTTAGGGTCCAGAGCGTCCAAATCTACTGGTCAGTGCTTTTCTATGGAGATTATACAAGCTGAGAGTGCAGCTGAACACCTGTGTCAGCACTGGGTGCACTTTAAAATAGCTGAATTGACTAATGAGAAAGCTGTCTGGATACTTTTGGACATGTAGAGCATCAGAACCTCCTGTCCACGCTGACGCTGACTATTTACTGGCTTCCGGATTGGTTCACAGCGCATTCTCTTTTATTACAAATGAGAATCAATAAACCAAACTCGCCATTTTTTAGTATTGATTTATGTTTGTGAATTTAGGGGGAAAGCCAGATTTATGAAGGAGGGAAAGTGAATTCAGAGAGTGAGAGAGAGAGAGAGAGAGTGAGAGAGAGAGAGAGGCAGTATGGCCGTGGGCTGTGGGACGGCCCGTTTTATTTTGTTCTCACAGCCGGATCTCAATTTTCCGCCGCATTATCTGTGATTTAATTGAGTTAATCCTTCCGTACATTATGGGTTCGATGGCAGGCGGGCCTCCAAGAGGAGAGGGGGAAAGACAGACAGAGGGAGAGAGAGAAGGGAGGGAGAGAAAGGGAAAGACAAAGGGAAAGAAAGAGAGAGAGAGAGAGAAAGAAAGGGAGAGAGACATAGAAAGAGAGTAGGAGAGAGAAAGAGTTGGAGGAGAGAGGAGTGAAAGCAGACTGCTGAAAAGAAGCGGATGGAGAGAAGGAGAGCAGGAGGAGTGTAGAGTTTGTGTTAATGTTCTACAGTCAGTCTGGGGCAGCACTGTTCATACAATATTGATCCATCCTGCTTTAGAAATAGCACACGTACTAGCCTTCTCTCTCCTCTCTCCTCAGATCTGCTCACATTCCTCCGTCCAGCTCCACAAGTAGCTCACCTCCTGGAGAAGCTGCTCTAAAACTACAGCTGGATGATACTCAAAAATTCTGTATGATAATGTTTTCCAACTTCCTCCAGAGTTCATTTATTCTTATTTAATTACATTTGAATTTTGTCTCGCCTTGCAATAATGTATTTAATTCAGGAAATGCATCTCTAGTTTTGCTGCTGTCAGGTAAATGTTTTCACAGATTAAGGCAGCCAGATAGAAGCAGGACGCACTTCTTAGTGGCGTGTTAATCCATTTCAGTGACAAACATGAGATATCGATTTGAGAGAACTCAGAAGACCATGACAAGCGATAAGCATTTCCAAACAGACATTATTAATAATGCTGAATAATTGTTTCTGCCTGGCTGTAGTTCATAAAGTTGTTTACTGTTTGAATTAATCATGCAAATGATTTTGTTCTGTGTTTTTCTGGTTTTGCTTTACTTGTTTTTTGCATTTGAAAACCATTTTTGTCTTTAACATTTTTAATTTGCGTTCAGTAACTAGTCTTACTGTAAAGCTGAGTTTGTGCTGAATCAGATGATGGAAACACTCAGGGACTGTGTACCGCATCACTGCAAAATAAATAACAAGTGTTGTCCAGTCTGCTACTTCTATGCTTGAGCCTGAATCACACCTGGGGTAGGGTTTACAGGACTGTATGGGGTTTACAGGACTATTTGGGGTTTACAGGACAATATGGGATTTACAGGACGATGTGGGGTTTATGGGACTATATGGGATTTACAGGACAATATGGGGTTTACAGGATGATATGGGGTTTACGGGCCTATATAGAATTTAGAGAACTATACAGGGTTAACAGGACTGCATGGGGTTTACAGGACAATATGGGGTTTACAGGACTATATAGGGTTAACATGACAATATGGGGTTAACAGGACAATATGGGGTTTACAGGACAATATGGGGTTTACAGGACTATATAGGGTTAACAGGACAATATGGGGTTTACAGGACAATATGGGGTTTACAGGACTATATAGGGTTAACAGGACAATATGGGGTTTACAGGACTATATAGGGTTAACAGGACTGCATGGGGTTTACAGGACAATATGGGGTTTACAGGACTATATGGGGTTTACAGAACTATATAGGGTTAACAGGACTATATGGGGTGTACAGGACTATATGGGGTTAACAGGACTATATAGGGTTAACACAACAATATGGGGTTTACAGGATTATATAGAGTTAACAGGGTTATATGCAGTTTACAGGACTATATAGGGTTAACAGGACTATACAGGGTTAACAGGACTATATGGGGTTTACAGGACTATACGGGGTTTACAGGACTATACAGGATTAACAGGACTAAATGGGGTTTACGGGACTATATAGGGTTAACAGGACTATATGGGGTTACAGGACTATACAGGATTAACAGGACTAAATGGGGTTTACGGGACTATATAGGGTTAACAGGACTATATGGGGTTACAGGACTAGACGGGGTTTACAGTGTACAGTTTGTGTTCCTGATAGTACATGGGTGCACACAATACTGCGCTCCTTCACTCCAGTACAAGAACAGCATCAACAGCAGGAGTCACCTTGAAGAGCCTGCTACAGCCAGAGCGTAATGCATGGCTGCTTCAGCAGAGTTAGCGTTAGCAGAAACTCAAGCCCACACTGGTGAAAGTGCAATGAAATCAGTGAGGCAAAACTTTTCCCGCCTCTTTTCATTAACTATCCATCAGATCATTTATTTATTATTTTTTGTTTGTTGAGAGAATCAAATTAAGCTTCAGATACTGCTCTCCTTTGGCACATACAGCCTGTAGACATTGCCAATGCAGCAGCAGGCATGCAGATGAGGAGTACAACTACAGAGCACAGTATTCCCCAGCCTTTAGTCTACATGACTCCTTTATCAGCTTTCATATAGGACTGAAAAAGCACATTGTGACTGGATTTCATAAGGACTGTTACACGTCACTGACAGCCAGGTTACAAATACAAGTCATTTCATTATAGAAAAATAATGTTTGAATTTATTTGAAGGAGTATAGAGTTATTTCATTGTTTACTTTGGGGATCTCAGTTGTAACAGCACATTAAAACTATTACATACATTAATGCTATGATACATTATGGGGTGGTTATACATTAACTATACATTAATGCTATAATACATTATAGGGTGATTATACATTAACTATACATTAATGCTATGATACATTATAGGGTGATTATACATTAACTATACATTAATGCTATGATACATTATAGGGTGATTATACATTAACTATACATTAATGCTATGATACATTATGGGGTGATTATACATTAACTATACATTAATGCTATGATACATTATGGAGTGATTATACATTAACTATACATTAATGTTATGATACATTATAGGGTGATTATACATTAACTATACATTAATGCTATGATACATTATGGGGTGATTATACATTAACTATACATTAATGTTATGATACATTATGGGGTGATTATACATTAACTATACATTAATGCTATGATACATTATGGGGTGATTATACATTAACTATACATTAATGCTATGATACATTATAGGGTGATTATACATTAACTATAAATTAATTCTATGATACATTATGGGGTGATTATACATTAACTATACATTAATGCTATGATACATAGCTATGACACATCATGCTATAGAAATGCCACGGCAGACGTCATAAGCTGTCACGGGTTGTCATGCCATAACATTTAGTAATATAACAGTGAAAAAAAGCAACAGTTGGGCTCAAACATCTTAAGTCAAGGTGCTGCCTTCAAAAATATCACAGAGTAGCAAAAAAGTGTGACTCACACTCCTTACAAAAACTCTTTGTTTACTTAATACACCAAAATCATCATGACTCCTCAGCCTACATGGCCTTCATCAGGAGAAAGGCTTTCATATGATGAATGGCCACATAGGACGAAACGTCACGACAATTTTAATGTATTAAGTCAATCTGCCGTTTTGCTTCTCTGCCCTTAATATAAGTGTTATGTTACCTTTTTTGACACATGGCATCACAGACGTCATACTGTTTGATATTATGATGGCTAACTAGAGAACACAGCACAAATTGATATGCGACATGAGCTGTCATGACAATTCGACATGACAATTCGTAATGGTGACATGACACATTATTGAACATAGTCTGTCATGACAACTCATAACAGTATGACACCTGCAATGACATGTTTACGGCATGATTATGTCAGTGTGATATAGGCTCCAGTAAAGCATCACCACAATGTCTTGTCAAGGTCAAATCAAGTCAAAGTCAAGCAAAAGGTGAAAGGTTTGAATTAATCTCCAGAAATATCTCTGATTGCTGATTAAACCGCACAGACGACTTTGCTATGGAAATATGAGAAGATGACCAAAAGGCCATTCTACTCAATCCTGCTTAACTACATAAGACCTGTGTTCCACTTTGGGAGTGTGCTCAGCAACGTCAGTAGCCATGTTTACATGCAGCCTGATAATCCATTAATAATCTGTCTAATAGCTCAATCGGAATAGAATACGTCCATGTAAACACCTCAGTCGGAACAGACTAGTCTGACTGAGGCCATTCGAAATACAATTTCTATCTGACTAAACGAGGTGGGTAATCCTGTAAATAACCCATTAAATAGAAGAATAATAATCATGTAAACACCTGTATCTGATTAAATTTTAAGTTTAAGTCCGTTCAGATCATGTGTGTCGCATCGTAGTGAAGATTTATAATGTTCAACATGGCGGAGCAGAAACTGGTCTGCAGAGGAGACGAAGTTTATGCTCTGATCTTTAAAGGATGATGGTGGGACGGACGTCCAGCTTATGTGTCTCAGAGCATGACGTCTTCCTCTCGGCCTTCTTTAATAAGGACATGTGAAGGACGTTTTCCTGAGTCTGACATCATTTTAAAGTAGTCAAAAACACAAGCGCGCCAGCTGAAAACTCAGGAAACTCACTGCTGGTTGTTGTCATGGTAACGTCTACACTAAGTGGATCAGATTACTTGTAGTGAGCATGTAAACAGAGATTTTCCATCAGACTGTTGAGTAGAGTGAGCATATAAGCAAAGCTACCTTTCATGTCATGCTAATGACATCTCTATAAACCTGTTCATGATTCCTCAGAGCTTTTGTGATGTTGTATGTTTTTCATTTGATTTGGTTGGTTTCATACCACAACGGCTAAAGTGAGCCAAATTCACTCTCTCTGTTACTCTCAACTTTACCACCATGAAAATAGAAAAATATAAATAGAATATACAAAATAGAGACGCTTCATGTCTATATGTATCACAAATAAAGCAATAATTATATCTGCTTCTTTATGTTTGGTTTAGCAATTTGAATTTAACCCATCAGGTTGCAGATACTTGGCTAAAAATACATTCTGCGATCCATGTGTCCAATGGCCCTGGACTTCATTTACAAAACAAGACCTGCACTTTCGTCTTTGTTGGTGATCAATCAAGTTAACATTAATAAAAATAGTTTTTAATGTATTAAATGCTATTTTTACATTGTGGCGGATGTACACGATTTTTTGATATGACGAAATCCGCAGTGCTGTTTGTTTTGTCTCAGCATGGCCGTCTTTGTGGAGAGGTGGGAACTGTTTTCACAGCAGGGGGTTCTCACCCCTCCCCTGTCGCCCCTCATTGCTCACTAGCAGCTCAATGCAGAGTCAGAACCTCATACACACAGAGAGAATTATTAATGTCCTAGTTAATATGAGAACTGAGTTACAGGGAAATATTTTATGTGATTATATTAATTGAAAGTATCTAAGTTAATTTCCATTCTGCTTCCATGGCCACTAGGGGGCCTGCAGAAAGACACGCTCTGGCAGAGCCTAGAAGCAGAAGACCGTGCCTCTTTGCAACACATGCAGCTTGATGAGATATAATATGAATATTATAATTATTATTACCTGTGGAGACCTGTCAGAGCCGCCGTTCTCCCTGGTTTTCCTCGCCAGTCTCTTCTTCTTCTTGTGCAGAGGCTTAGATTCCAGGATCATCTCCTCCAGCTCAAACGTCGGGTCACAGTTTAGTCTCCGCCTCTGTGCAAACAGAGCTATTACTGGACAGGCAGGTTGTGAGTAGGGATGAACAATAGGTCCCACTTTATATAAAGTATCTCTAATAACTGTGTAGTTACATATGAATAACATATGCAACAACAACATGACTACTAATGATTTAGTCAATGTTACAGATGGATTACACAAGTACAGCTTATGTAATTACACATGTGTATCAACTTCAGTTTTACCTCATGTAATTACATAAGCATATGTTCTACACAGGAATGTTTCTGTAGTGTAGTGTTAAAGTTACACTTTAAAATAAGTGGACAGTTCCTGTGTAGTTGTTATGTAGGTACTGTGTAATAATGGAGAGGTAATATAGAAATTGCCTTGGAGGTAATGCAACACATTTAATTAATGTCATAAAATTAGATTTTATAATAAGGGGTCGTCTGCTGTTCTGTCACCTTACAGAATGGTTTAAAGTTGAAACTGGTTACAATGTCACAGCATTAGCAACATAAATGCTAGCTATATGTTTGGAAAGCTGGCAGATACAGTGTAAGTAATGTGTTATTGTAAGTTATTACAAATGTCCTTTTACTGCTGTAAAAAAAAATCTGAAAAACTGCTGTTATAGTCTGATCACAAATGTAATTACATTTATGTTATCACCCTTGTGTAATTACATGAGAGAGGATACAACTAATAAGATACACTTGTGTAATTACATGAGGCAAAACTGACGTTGATACACGTGTAATTAAATCAGTGTACTTCTGTAATCCACCTGTTACAATGATTAAATCATTAGCAGTTAAATTGTTGTTGCACATGTTGTTCACATGTAACTACACAGTTATTAGAGACACTTAATATAAAGTGGGACCAAACAGTATACTGATAAGTCGTTGTTAATGTGATTAATTATGCCATGATGCGCTTTTCTAAGTATATCGTGTGTGGTGAGTACTAGAGCACTGAACAACTGCATGGATCATAAATAAAAGACAGATTTAGACCCAAATTTTAATAATTTATTTTTACCAACTTTTTGCTTTTTCCTCCTTTTTAATGTCTTATATCCTTCTTTAAATGTACTGCTACTGTTTTACTGGTGTATTTTGTCCATTCCAATTTGTTCACAAAGCTCAAAAAAACTATTGACTGACTCAGTGACTGATTAAATATCTCCCAGTATCATGATGGTATTAGTTCCATTGTATTCATGATGTTGGCCATACTGCCCCCCCTTTAGTGGTGAGTACAGCTAAGAGCCAATTGTCGCATCATTTTTTGTTTTTCCAAGGCCGTCTGTTCCTTCACTGCTAATCTCTGGCCAGCGGTTTCCATGGGGACCTCACACTACTCTGTGATGCGATGCTCACATGCAAAGAAAAAATCCGAACACATTCTCTGTTTCTCATTAACCTTCAGAGTCTCAGACACAATAAAATGTCATTTTTGTATGAACTATTTCTCATGTAGCTTATTGAAACAAGAGGAGATTCTAAACTTTATAAGTAGGAGATGTTTTATGATTCAAATGTCTTGTTTTGTGGAAAGAATATCTATCTTTTACATTTTTGCCATTTATTTTGTCATTTTTTGACATTGAGATGAAGTGAAAAAGATCAGACTCAAACAGAATGTAAACTGACCGTGAATCTAATTCACTACACAGCTTTACTTAACTATGTAATCAATAGAATAATGATGTAATTATCAGTGGTGTCAAAGATAACAAAAAGTATTAAAGGGGAATTTCAAAGTCAATCGTTAAGTTGTAAACAGAGTCATTCAGAGTGGTTTGATGTGAAATGCTCCACTGTAGAGAGACTTGCTGAGTCAGAATTGTTCACAGGAACCAAATATCTGAAGACTTTAATGCTGCTAAATCAAATAAATCACAGATAGCTATTATATAAAATTGTTAGCATAAAAAAATTGCATAATATATATAAAAGATATTGCATAATGTCTGAAAAATGTTTGTCATTTTGTTTTGAGGTAAGGTTATGGCCCAAAACATATTTTCTAAAAGCCATTCAGGGCAGAGAGGTTCATGCAGGGTGCAAACAGTCCCCAGGAAACTTATTTTTCTGATATAATTATTAAAAATCGTATTATACATAAAATCTCAGAAGACAGGTGTAGTTGTTTTGGATAGTAAATAAAATGGCAATTTTTTTTGTAGCATCTCAACCCTTGGTTCCCATCACCAACAAAGAAATCCAAGTCAGTAAGTTTCTCTACAATGAACCATTTCACATCAAACCACTCTGAATGACTTTGTTTGCATTTTAATGATCAAATTTTGGAATATTAGTGGGATTCCGTGGAAAAAAAAAACTTTTTTTTTTAATTAATGCATTATCCTAGTTTGTAGTTCCACTGTCAGCCCAGCTGCTCGTGTGCTGTTGCTATGACTCCATGAATGTAATCCTTGCAGCCCAACTGTACAGCTTTTGAATGGCAAGTTCCACTGATGGCTCCCTTGATAAAACTATTGTTTCCAGCTACTGCAATGGTTAATTTGTTTATCATCGAAGGAAATTGAGTTTGAAGTAATTAAAATGCAGCACTGATGCCAGTAACATCAGTAACGTTAGCAACAGCAAAGCGGAAAGCCCCAGATCTTCTCCAAACAAGACGCAATGCAGTGGGTTAAGGGGGTTATATAAATAATATGTAATAAATAAGTAACAAATACATTCTGATGAAGCTTGTTTACTTTTACAGCTATAACAAAATTCAGCTTTTTGATTGGAAAAAACTTCCTTTAAGGGTCAAATTTAAGCAGATAAAATGAATGGGATTAATCATGATTAACTACCCAAAATAATGGCATTAATTACTGATCATTTGACAGCCCTAGTAATTACAATTCAATTTACAGTAGACAATAAACTGACAACGTTAGCTCTGCACTTCTAAGGTGTTAAATCCAGCATGAAATACAGGGTTTGTCTGAGATCTTCTGGACTCTTACATTAGGGATGAATCCTGGTGGGACCTGTTTGTTTAGCACAGCGTCCCAGTTGACGTCAGAGAGGTAGTCCATGTCCTGCAGCTCAGAGAGGGAGGAGACACGCTTCTGGGCATCAATACACAATAGCTGAAAAAGAGCAAACACAAACAGTCCAGTCTATTCATAGAAAACACCTGCCTACTTACTTTTAACAATAAATACATGATTATGTAATTTTACTACAAGTAATGGAAGCTTATGCACTCTATTAACTAGCATTTTGCTCACTGTATGTCTAAATCATCACACACTTGCCTCAAACTGTGTTGAGTTGCTAAATAATCTCAAATAGACTTGCTTATGTGGTCTCTGAGACTGTATGTATGTGAAGTGATTTTAAGGGCTGAATTTATGTGTACCTTTGTCCAGTTTTTAGTACAGCAGGCAAATGTGTGATGATTCAGGCACAAAGTTTTAATGATTTGGTCAGTGCCAGAGTGGAACTTGTTTTCAGACACTGCCACCTAGTAAATTTACCTTCTCTTATGGATTTGCTATAGTAAGATAACTAGCTAGTGATAAAATGAGAACCTTTGTGTTAAAAGGTTTGTGTTAAATATTACAGAATCATGACGATTAATGTGCTACAAACCAATGTGACTTTGTCAGCATTGCTCACTGCCCAGTTAATCGGGTGTATACCCATATTTTGGAGTATTTAACTGCATCTTCTTTAAGTGCTTTTTATTCTTTTCTTCCCCCTGAGCCACCTTTGTTTATCACGTTTTGCACTGTTGTCTATCTTCATACGATTTATGTATAAAGGTGGCTACATTGTCCAGCAATGCTGACAGTAATGTATTTGTTCAGCTAATGAGTCTAGTCCAGGGGTCAGCAACGGCTCTTTTACTGCCCTGTTGTGGCTCCACAGCAGAATTTGATTTTTAGGTGAAAATAAAATAATCCTCCTTTACAGTAAAATAAAGCTCTGCTGATCGTTCAACACAGTTTTAATTATGAATGGTCTTAAACGCTGGAGTTAATTTATATCTGCTAGTCCACCTTTGCCTAGCTAGTAGCTAATGAAAAGGAAATAAGAAAGATTTAAGGCCAACATCGATAATTTAGTGACGAATGGACTTATTTGTGTTTATAATCACTCCAGCTGGTTTCCTGATACGTTTAATCTGCAATGAGAAACTGTCAAACACTAAAAGGTCATGAAGCTGAAGTCAACTTCTTGTTCACCAGCTTCTCATTCTAATTTAACTGTTTCACCTTAAATGGTGCAGCAGTTACATTCGGGTGCCTCAAGCAGCATTTAAGGTGGAACAGGAAAATTAAAAAAAGATACTGGCGAATGAGAAGCGACTTCAGCCTTGCAAAAAGTCGAACGTTGAGAGACATTTTACAAGAAACTGTTCTACTTCTTCTGCAAAGTTTCCTGATGGAGATGTGAGAAAGGGGCTATAGCTGAGCTAAAGCTTAAAGCAGAGCAAAGTAAGTTTGTGTTTTCATTTATATTACATTTTTAGCCTGTACTAGTACTACTGAGACATATTTACAGCCAGGATAGTAAAATAAACATAAAATGTTGTGGCTCCCAAGATGGTTTGATTTTTGTTGAAAAGACAAGATGACTCTTCTTTACGTTTGGGTTGCCGACCTCTGGTCTAGTATATAGAGTAGGTAGAGATTAGCCTGTTCAAAATTTCTACCCACTTTAATAGACTAGCTGACACAAAAGGATCCACAGTATTTTGGAGCGAAACTTTTCAAACGTTGTTAGCCAAGAGTGACCATACCACAACCATAGCAGCCCACTAGGGATTCTCTCAGCCCTCCTGATTGCCCACATCAGCTTTGGATTTGGTGTACATAAGTTTCCATTACTTGTAAGCTACGTAGCTCCAGTGCAAAACTAAAGAAGCAAATTTTTACCAAAGAGACAGGTTTTACCTTTCTCAGCAGAGTCTTGATCTCTGCAGACCAGGCGGCTGGGTAGTAGGGGTGGACTTTATGGAAGGACTGCAGGATCTCACTGGCCGGTGTGCTGGAGCGCATTATGTAAGGCCTCTGCAAAAAGTTGAAAGGCCAGAGAATGTAGTCTAAACCATAATTGACGTCAGGAATTTTAATGACATGTATTTTGCATTTTTTATAGCCCTCCGAGTAGAGTAGCACTGGACTCAGTTAGTAGTCCAGTAGTTTTCCAGTGGAATGAGTTTAACATTGATGCCACAGTCATAATAGTGATTCTGCTTTGTCTGTTACATAAAATGCAGCTAATATTGTAATGTTTTTATATGATGATTGAATATATAAAAGCAAGTGCCTTAGAATATGACTGATACATTTTAACAAAGCATTCTCGGATTCACTGGGCCAAAGGAAACCTTGAGTGCTGCCAGCATTCATTTAGTTTCTGGGTGCATCATTGAAAGGGAGGAAACTGGCGTAAACCCACACCAGCATGATCTCACAAAAGCATGTATCTTTGTACACACAAATTTTGTGTGAATGAAATCAAAGGCCCAAAACACACCCTACTTATGGATCTGAGTGCACAGTACATTAAAGCTAAATATACAAACATTCTAATTCAAACAAAAAAAAGATAATCTCATGTGTTAAAACGCATGCATATGTGAGCAGGGACAGTGGGAGTGGGGGTGCTGCACCTCCAGATTTCAGAACTGCAGCTGTTAAAAACAACAATAATAATAAAATGTTTTTTGATTTAATAAGTAGTATGTATTTTTATATTTTATTTATGTTTTTTTTCCAAAATAGCAGTAGCTGTGTATTTTTTAAGTTAATGCTGCAGTTTCATTAAAGCCAGCTGTGGGCTGCTTTGGGGGCACATCACTGAAATGAACAGGTTTAAGTGCAAAAAAGGAAAGTGTACACAGAGTTATAGGTCAGTTTTGAGCCCTAAAGCAGCCCATTATTATACTGACTTTGTTTTTGAATGTAATGTAATAATCTAAACTGTCTTTTCTCCTGCTTGTTGTGCTTTCCAGCATTAAATCTCACTGCGTGACTGTGGGCGTGATACAATAGTTTACCGTGCCACATCTGAACAACTGATCATTTGCATAATGTTGGTCTAGGACGAGAGAGCAGAGTGAGGACGTGAGTCTACTAAAAAGGGTCAATTGTTTTGTATAATGCCATCATTAGTGTTATTTCAGCACCCCAACTTAAACACCTTTCCACCTCCCTGTATGTGAGGTTTCCTCACAAAACTGTTCATATGTACAGCCAATAAATGAGCTCTTGGGGATGAATGATGCCTCACATCACTAGGCTTCCATGAACCTTATGTGCATTTTGCAAGCGATCAAATGAAAATATGTTTAAAACATCTTTGCGAATTTTCTGCCAGCAGCTCATTTCCATCAAAAAAGGTTGCTTGATGGAATAAAAACTGCATCAAGGAAATTTATATATTTGTTGCAATTCTGTGTAACAATTCTCATACAGTGTTTGGCAACATTTTAAGCGCAGTCAAACAATTTATCTGCTAAAACCTGCAGAATTAATTAATTGATATTAGCAAAATACATTGTCACACGTTTCAAAGCGTAAAAACATTTTTCATATAAAATCTCTTGGGTGGACCCCTATCTTATGACACTGTGTGTTTGGATTAAAGGGCAGTATCATGCAAAACTGAATATATTTTCGATTTTTGAAGTAAAAATTTGATGTAGTATGTCAACTTTATAAAGTTTCCAAACTTCCAAAGTTTCACTTCCAGTTTTTCAAAGAAATCTGCAGACACACCTCCAAAGCTCAGTCTTAGAAGTTGGTTTAGCATTTCCTGAAATAATCAAACACATTCAGTGATGTTGAGGTCTGGACTCTGGGGTGGTCAGTGAACAAGCAGCAAAAGCAGCCTGTTTTTAGCACAAAAACCAACACATATACCCACATATTCAGCCTACGGCAGTTTAGCCCCACCCATTTACACTGAAGCTGAGTGTTTCAGCTTAAACTGCTATTTGAATGAGGCACAATACAGGGCAGCCAATCAGAACAGAGGCTATTTACATATATCAGTCATAAAGGCACAGTAACAGAAAAAGCCTGTTTAATTTTACAGGATAATGAGAGGTTGAAAAATGGTCATGTAAAAACGGTGCATAAAACCACACAAACATCATCAGTGGACCTTGGGAGAAAAATAAAAGCAAAGAAAAATGTAGACCCTTTAACTCTTTACATCCAGGGTTAGTGTTTATTCAGGATTAGCTTCATATCTCATCCACAGTAATACAACATGAGCTCCGGCTGAACACAAATCTGCTGACCATGAGAAACCTCACCTGTCCTCTGAGCAACTCGTAAGCAGTTATGCCCAAAGACCACCAGTCCACTGCAAACGAGTAGCCTGGATGCGTTCCCTCCACCGGCTGGAAAAGCTCCGGAGCTGCAAAGGTGTGATGGGACATAAACTTGTATGGGAGGATTAAAAACAGTTCCGCCTGGTTTCCTCTGCTTCTATTTCAGTCACAAATGGACTTTTTCCTGTCAGCTTGGGATCCACATTCATATTCATTCATAAAATAAACATGGCACTTTGCCACAGCCCTGCTGCTTTCTCTCCTTTCATTTCTTGCTCGTTCTTTCTTTCTGTCACCACCAATAAAAACTCATATCCATCACTTGGCTTAACTACATCAGACTAGACATGCTGGTCCTGAGGTCAGTTTGGGGCGCGGTGCGCTGCTAATTCTGTTATGCTGTACTGTTTCGTCTCATATCCTACAGGAAATCTTTTTTTTTTTTTAGGAGTATTTAATTTATTTGGTTATATTTACATTGCTGTGCAAAAGTCAGAGACAATTTATTAAATAACAACTAACAACTCAACAGCTAAATATAATATATTTTTCATTGTTCAGTGTGTCTTTACCTTTATTATAGCTCCTATTCCTTTCAGGAGACTCACTTTCAGTTTCCCAAAGAAATCTGCAGACACACCTCCAAAGTTCAGTCTTAGAAGTTGGTTTAGCATTTCCTGAAGTAATCAAACACATTCAGTGATGTTGAGGTCTGGACTCTGGGGTGGTCAGTCCATTGTTCAGCTTCTTTGTTTGATGTGTCCGTCTCCTTTTCTCAGTGAGGCTTCTTGACAGCTGCACATCCTTTCAGACCCATAGCACTGAGTCGTCTTCTCACAGTGGAAGGATGGACAGAAACACCTGTGGATGTTTTCAGATCTGAAGCAGCTTGATTTTCTCCTCTCTCTCAAAGATGAAAGCTTTAAGTGCTGTTTATCTGATGGGGACAGTGTTGGTGTCTACCAGCTCTTCCAGGTGGTTGTTAAGAGTCCCATTTTCTCTTTAGTCATTGTCTGAATTACAGTTTTGAACTGTATCTTGACTTTCTCCTTCCTTATGAAAGTGGATTATCTAATATCTGATCTCATCAGAAATATCTCCTGAAAAATGAATACATTGTACTTAACAGCCTTTTTGACTGGAAATGAACTAAGTGAAGGGTGGTCTCTGACTTTTGCACAGTACTTACATTTTTAGTTCATATTTTATACATTGCTGTACTAAAATTTCTCATCTGACTTATCGTTATTATCATTATTCCTATTACTTTTTTTTCATTTTAAGGCACAAAATGTGCTAGAAAAAGAAAATGTATTACTATCAATACGCAAAAACATTGCTTCCCCTTGTGTAGTTCCAGTGTTCTACACTGTACATGTCAAGCTAACACTAGAGATAAGATTTAGTGAAAGGATTAGATGAATGAAATACCTAATTACCCCATTACATACTCCCAGACTCAAGCTGGGACTACACTGTAGTCTGAAAAGGCAATAGCCGGAAACCCTACAAATGGCCAGGGCCCAGCAGTGGGCCCAAAGTTTTATTACACACTTCTATAACCCAAGAATAAATCAGCTAGTTTGCACTGAAGTCCCTGTAGTTACTGAATTATGTCTTAGTATGTAATAAGCTTGAGATTGTAAGGGGTTAATGTTAGAATAATTTCAGTAGCATCATTATGTATTAAATTAATGAGATGAATTTAACATTAAGCATCTTACAGTTATTTGGGTGGCTTCTGACTTTTGAGTCGTCCTGTACAGTGTCCGTCTGGAGTGTATATGAATCGTTTAATGTATTTTGAAAGCTCTTACCCATGTATGGCTTTGTCCCAGCGATGGAAGTGGCTTTTAAGTCGTCCTTTACGATAGCAGCGATGTTGAAGTCTGTCAGATGAGCATGGCCTGAGAACAGACACCAAACAACAACACAAAACAGCCTTCAGTATCTGCCTGCTGGAGGTAAGGCTCCACTTATAACCCCTGTGGCCGTGATATGAGCTCATCATGTCAGTGAAGAGTGGTAAAAATTCAGCCTAATATATTATTATAGATTTATTAAATTACATTTTTAGAACTGTGAAAATATTCAATTAATTTTTTAATGAAAAAAAAAAAGATCTGTCCGGGGTGTTTCCTGCCTTCTGTCCAGTGACTGCTGGGATAGGCTCCAGCGCCCCCCTCCCCGTGACCCAGAAGTATAATCGGCTTAGAACATGTGTGTGTGTGTGAAAACAAACAATGAACCCCAAAGTGAACTGGATTCTTTATGACAAAGTAATTCACCCCTTTACATACAGTGTTCTTGACAACCTCGAGGTAGAAATCAGCTGCCAAATTAGCTAAATCAGTGCAGCAGCCTTTACTGATAGTCCTAATATTACTAATATTATCACTGGCTGTGTTTACATGCAAAGATTTTTTCAATCCTATTGAATGCATTCCGATTCTAGATTATGACTGAGGTGTTTTTATGCTCACTCTACTCAACAATCTGATGAAAATCTCTGTTTAATTTGCACCCTACAAGTAATCCGATCCAAAATTACACGCATGCGAGGAGTACCACTTAGTGTAGACGTTACCATGACAACCAGCATCACATGAGTCCAGTCAGAGTGAGATGAGCAGCCGTGAGCAGTGCTTGTGTTTTTAATTACTGATGTCAGACTCAGGAAAACGTCCTTCACATGTCCTTATTAAAGAAGGTCGAGAGGAAGACGTCGTGTTCTGAGACACATAAGCTGGACGTCCGTCCCACCGCCGTCTTTTAAAGATCAGAGCATAAACTTTGTCTCCTCTGCAGACCAGTTTTTGCTCCGCCATGTTGAACAGTATAAACTTTCAATATGACGCGACACACATGATCTGAACGGACTTAAACTTTCTGATTGGGAATGTAATCAGATTCAGGCGTTTACACGGATATTATTCTTCTATTTAACAGATTATTTACAGGATTACCCACCTCGATCAATCAGATAGAAACTGTATTCTGAATGGCCTCAATCGGACTAGTCTATTCCGACTGAGGTGTTTACATGGACGAATTCTATTCCGATTGAGCTATTAGTCGGTCTATTAAAGGATTATCAGGCTGCATGTAAACATGGCTACTGTAGGCTAATAAAAATGCTATCAAAAACGATGATCATCAAAAACGATGTCCATATGTTCAGATAGTCATGGCAAATCACTACATTCAAAATGTGACATATCAATTAAACACTTAATCAATGATAAAAAGCCTTTTGCCAGCCAAATGACATCGATACTGGAAAAGAAAAAGTGATCCATCTCTATATTACAGTTTACTCTAACCTAACATACGGTATACGATAACATAACATACAGTATGGCAGTGTACTATTATACCACATTAGACCAAACTCATCAGTCATTGAGTAGAAGGTATTAATATAAACATATAAAGTCATTGATAATATAACACTTAATATAAGTCCAGGAATAGATGGAGACCAGTCCAATCACTCCAAAACTGACGAGGAGACATTTTATTATGATTTGAACCTGTTGATATAGAATGGAAATTGCATGTGTAATGTAATTGAGTGTCATAAAATTATGTAATTACATTGTAATAATGTAGACTCCTCACTATGCAATATTGCTTTCTAATTCTCCAACAGAAGCGCTCACATTCTTTCCCATCATTCTGACACATACAGAGCGTATCAGGGTGACGTGTTGTTTTGTGTGGAGAGCTCTGCCGAGTGGAGCTGCTGTGTTATTTGGAGATATAGGGCAGAATGGCTGTTAATGGGGGTAAATGGGGTGACATTGCGAGAGGCAGCCAGCAGCGTTCACCTCACGGCATCACCTCAGAGGGAGAGAAACAGAGGAACTGGAGCAGAGACATGAGAGAGAGAGAGAGAGAGAGAGATGGGGGAGATAAAGGTGAACAGTTTTCTCTCAGTAGTGTGTGTATGTGTGTGTGTGTGTTGGTGTGAATGTTAAACAGGACAGTGCAGAGCGCCATTACGCACACACACACACACACACACACACACACACACACACACAAACACACACACAAACACACACACACACACACACACACACACAGCCTTTCTCTCTTTACAGTCTGTTCTTTTGTCCTCTACCTCTTTTTCCACCTTCCATTTCATCTTCTCTTTCCCTTTGTGTTTGTTATTTTCTCCACCTCACCTCTCTTATCTTCTCTATCTATCTATCTATCTATCTATCTATCTATCTATCTATCTATCTATCTATCCATCCATCTCTGCCTCTCTCTATCTCTGCCCCCTCTCTCTCTCTGTCTCTGCCCCTCTATCTCTCTGCCTCTCTTTAAATCTGCCCGTCTCTATCTCTCTGTCTCTCTCTACCTCTATCTGCCCCATCTATCTCTCTCCCTCTCTATCTGCCCCCTCTACCACTCTGCCTCTCTATCTGCCCTTCTATCTCTCTGCCTCTCTCTCTCTCTCTCTGCCTCTCTCTCTCTCAATTTGTCCTTCTCTATCTCTCTCTATCTGCCCCCTCTCAATCTGCCCCTCTCTATCTCTCTGCCCTGCTCTTTCTATCTACCCCTCTATCTATTTGTCTCTCTCTATCTCTCTCTCTCTCTTTCTCTCGATGTGCCTCTCTCTCTCTCTCTCCCTCTCTCTCTCTCCCTCTTTCTATCTGCCCCCTCTATCTCTTTGCTTCTCTCTCTCCCTCTTTCTACCCCTCTCTGATTTCCTTCCTTTTTTCCCTCTACGTGTCACTCTGTCACAGTCTCCATCTCTCTCTCTTTCTCTCTCTGTCTCTCTCTCTCTCTCTCTCTCTCTCTCTCTCTCTCTCTCTTCTGTCACCCAGGTTGGTTTAGAGGACTGTGGGGAGTTAATGTGTTCTCAGTCTGTGGAGAGTTAAAGTAGTAAACTGGCTCAATGGGGGAGAATTGCCCCCCCCCCGCTCCAACTTCCTGTGAGTCAGCACTTTCTGCAGCCCCGCCCACCATGCCTCCCAGGTTAATGAGTGGAATGTGGGGTGTGCGTGAGAGAGAGAGAGAGAGAGGGAGAGAGAGCAGGCTTGGCTAATTTGACGATATTATCACAATGTCAACAGCCCTGAACAGCGATATTATGTCTGCACAAGGAGAGTGACCGCTGACTTAAAGCCATTTAAAGTGCCCATAACTACATTTCACTTGTATTTCATTTCATTCTTTTCCTTGAGGGTCACTTATAATGTTTACGTGGTTTTCTGTACCAAAAATAGTCATGTTTTGACCGTTTTCCAACCTCTCTTTATTCCTGAGAACTAAACAGGCTGTTTTTGTTGCCATGACTTGTCTGATGTATGCAAATGAGCTCGGTTCAGATTGGCTGACTTATATTATACCTCATTCAAAAAGCAGTCTGGGCTGAAACACTCCTTATAAATTCAACATGAATGTTTTTGAAGTTACAGTTCAGCAAAAATGAATAATTTACACAACTTTACCCTATTGTAGTTGATCAGTCAAGACTTGTTTGGTGTCTAAAGTTGGCTTCTAATAGAAATGGACACAAGTACAGACAAACGTCAAGCTTAAGGATGGCTGCTGCTACAGTTTTACCTATGCAATTTACTTCTGTCCATGTTTATAGACAACAGCATGTCATACAGAGTCAACGACTACATTTTACTACTTATAACTCAGCACAGTTTAAGGCAAGTGTGTGATGATTTAGGCAGGCAGTGCAAACTTTCATTACTTGTTAGCTACATTAGCCTCATAGCTCCAGTGCAAAATTAAAGCAGCAAACTTCAGACACCAAACATGTCTTGGCTGATGGACTATATTTTGAGTATGTGTGCATAACTGTGCATGTGTGCATAAGTATCTGAGTATGTGTGCATAACTGTTCTCTGAACTACAGCTAAGTTTGTCCTACTCTCAGCCTCAAATGCTCCATCCTCCAGCACACAAAGCCGGCCACAACTATCAGGATTTTGTCAGTTGCATTCTGATTGGTTATCTGTGTGTCCATGTAGCACTTCCGTGCACCATTTCTATCATTCAAACAGCTGCCTGAACTGGATATTATGAGAAAAAACGAGTCTTTCAGAGCAAGATTTTGGCAATCGCTGCATCCCCCTACACACCGTACCAAAAAACAACAGCCTGTGATTGGTTGTTTTGCATGTCAGTCAAACAGCCTCTTCCTGACAGGGTAGGCAGTTCTTGCCCACATTATGCTGCCCATAGGCAGAAGTGTGGCTTGAGAGACTAGCTGCCTGTTTCAAAACCAGTTTAACCCCTTACCAAGCCATGGGTCCAAAAGTGTTATCACACTCTTCTATACTCTCCTAAGAAAAGCTCCATTAGTTTGCACTGAAGTCCCTGTAGTTACTGAATAATAAGCCTTAGTATGTAATAAGCCTGGAATGTTAAGGGGTTAAAGTGAAAGGTGTCAGATGAGCCCTTGGAGGAGTGAAGGATTGACTGAACAACAGTCACAGAACTTGCCCAGAAATCACTGGAACCTGACACATTTCCCTTTTCAAACCCCAAAATAATGAAGCGCTCACCACTTTTAAAAGACAAACAGCTTTTATCTGGTGCTTTGCTCTCCAGCTGTTGTTGGCCAGAGCTATTTGAGCTGTTTTCCTTTTACTAACAGCCTATTAGCCATAGCAATGAATAGCATTAAAATCCTTTACATTTAAAAACCATATCATTCAATTTGCTGGGCTTTAATTTGCAAACTACTCCATCTGCTATACATGACTCTGATAGCTGGCTAGTTAGCATGCTAAAGGCTACATGGATAACAACAACAAAAAGCAAGGCACCACAATGTGGTTATAGCCGGACAAAACAAATATTCACAAGTTTTATGTATGTTACGTTCAAATTTCTCAAAAAATGGCTGCTTGGCTAGCTGATTAGCACACAGAGGCTAACCTCCCGAGGGGGAGCGTGTCCTGTTCGAACAGTCTACACCTCACTGTCCTCTCTGCCCCTTTTTTTCACCAAATGACCATTTGTGTAGCACTGATGTGATGCACATCTGAGCGGTGAGTGAAAGCAGACGAGGGCTTGTTAAAAAGGTATTGAAACAGGGCCCAGGTTTATCCAAACATGGCCTAGGACTGTTTCTGCATGTGTGAGTGTGAGATGTCACGTGTCTGTCTGACGTGACTGCAAGCTTTACTCCTCTCCCCTCCTTCATTTTTCATATTCATCTCTATGCTACATTAGGCAGGGAAATGGAGCCATATTTTATGAAGCTGTCAGCGTGGTAACTCCTGCAGAGCGGCTGACAGCAGCGGTGTCTCAGAGGGCGACCCACAGAGACAAACTACTTCACCTTCACTCACTACTGAACAATCCCTCAGAAAAGCCCCTCCAAAGGCTATTAACCTTTAATGAGTGTCGAGCAGCAGCATCACTATAAGTAGCTAAGCTGTTAGTTTAACTACCTTTGCCAGTAGCTCAGATGCTTTTCAGATGCGAAGCTATTTTATCAATGAAGTAACAGGGTAGTGTTGTCAAGTGCTACACTTTTCATTTCCTCACACTACACAGTACTAAAGTTCCCCTATTAAATTTCATGTTTTGCTGATTTTCTAAGTGAAAATAAGTGAACACATCCTCTACAGAGAACACACGTCTGCATATTTTAATGCGCAATTACTGATTATTTGCTGAATTGAACATACTGAAAAAAACAAAACATAGCAATATTTTATGTTTTAACACATAAATAGAAACTGTGCACTAAAGTTTGCAGAAAAATGCCGTATTTAAGTTCTCTGTAGAATTTCACTTACAAATTCAACAAAACATAACTTTTGCAGGAGTGTTCAAACTTTTGCCTGTCTATATATAGCTATATGTTTTACTCAATCAAGTTGTGTATTGTGTGTTATTTAGTTGTAAATAATAAGAGATTTTAAGTAATTGTGAAGTGATTTTAATCCAGTATGAATCTGCAGTGTGTGTAGATTTTACAGTCTGACAGTAATAATTGTGGAGCGATTTTAATCCAGTATGAATCTGCAGTGTGTGTAGATTTTACAGTCTGACAGTAATAATTGTGGAGCGATTTTAATCCAGTATGAATCTGCAGTGTGTAGTTTTACAGTCTGACAGTAATAATTGTGGAGCGATTTTAATCCAGTATGAATCTGCAGTGTGTGTAGTTTTATAGACTGACAGTAATAATTGTGGAGTGATTTTAATCCAATATGAATCTGCAGTGTGTGTAGTTTTTACAGTCTGACAGTAATAATTGTGGAGTGATTTTAATCCAGTATGAATCCAGGACTTCAACTTTTGACTCACCGATGGGCCCATGGCTTTTCAAGGGGTTAGTTATATTTACATTTGATTTATATTCTGTACTGACACCGTCAACTTTTCCATGTTTCAATGCCGATAAATGATAAAAACGAAAAAATGTAAAGGATGTTTCTCTTTCAGTAGAACAACACTGTACAAATCATAATAAAACAATCACTACTTGCAAACACAAATATAATATGGATGGAAAGATAAGAGTCTGCGCTTTAAACAGAATCTCTCTGCTTGTATCAGTGAGCTATGAATGAGAGATCATTCAAATAAGATTACAACATGCTTTTGTTATAAGCAGCCATAACTGCAACTTTGAAGGCTATATATATTATATAAGACTATAAACATCAACTAGATTCACTGTTAATTTTCTGTTTACTGTCGTGCATGGTAGAGAGAGAGAGAGAGAGAGAGAGAGAGAGAGAGAGAGAGAGAGAGTGAGAGAGAGAGAGAGAGGGAGAGAGAGAGAGGGAGAGGCCAGAGGAGAACCTCTCAGCCACCAGGTGTGTGGTGTGTGTATGTATGTGCGTGTGTGTGTTGTGTTGTGTAGGGGACAGGGTCATAACTCTCTCTACATTAATGCTCCTCTCCCATTATCATACTGATTATGAACTTGGTTGGTTCGCTCTAGTTGGCTTTGTTTCTAACAGCACCTGTTATGCAATTTTCCTCCAGCCATAAATAACCTTCACCACACTGTCAGGATGAATAAGTAGTGCAGGAGATGATGCACGAAAGTCAGCCTGGGTGAAAAAAACAGTAATAATTATCTAAATCAGTTCTTCTTTAATAACAAAGAAGTACAGTCAGTCATGCAAAAAAGTTTGGGTCTCCAGGTCAAATGACATGTTTTGCTGATTTTCTAAGCAGAAATAAGTGAACACATCCCCTACAGAGACACACTCCACACATTTAATGGATATTTACTGTATATTTGCTAAATTTAAAATGAAATATTGGAAAAACATACATAAAATGTGGCCTGTGCAAAAGTTATGGCTCTTTTTATGTTTTATGCTTTTTAATTTATATATATATATATATTATATTTCCAATATAATAAACCCCGAACACAAACAAACAACAAGTTGAGCACCACATTTACAGATTAAATTATTTGCAGAATAAAATATCATATTTAAGTTCTCTGTAGAGGAGGTGTTCACTAATTTTCAAATCAACAAAACATCATTTGACTGAGGTTACCCAAACTTTTGCATACGACTGTATAAAATGATCTTGCTGTCCTGTTCTTCAATTCAGTATTATCATCAAAGGCTTGGATTTTTATGAATAGCTTCTTTTTTTTTGGTATTTTTTCCAATTTTCTCCCCAATTCAGATCTGTCCAATTCCACCCACTACTTAGGACTTTCCCCATCACACAATACCACCAGCGCTAGGAGGACAAAGGCAAACACAAGCTTCCTCCGAGTCACATGAAGCGCCACTGCATCCTTTCAAACTGCTGCTAACACAACATCATTGAAGAGCTGAACACGCTTGGAGGACACCTGCACTGGTGATGGGAGAGACGGAGGGCCATCTGACCCACCCAGAGAGAGCGAGGCCAATCATGCTCTTTTGGACTCCCAGGCACGGCTAACCAGGGACTGAACTCATGATCTCCTGCTGATAGGGCCGACACTTAGACAGTTGTGCCACTTGGGAGCCCCAACAGTTGCTGCTTCAGTACAGTAGGTGGATAGAAGGCAAGGAGAAGTCTAGCCATTCACTGACAGCACCAACCATATATCTTTTATTTATACGTGTTTATTCTATGCTCCATCTTGATGATAATGTTCTGTATTACATCAGAATACAATTTTTGTTTTCTTCGTTCTATGTTCAATTTAGACATAAAGTTGAGCATTAGGAAATGCATATAATAATAATAATAATAATAATAATAATGGTGATTATTACTCTGATTCTGGCAATGTTGCCACTCGAAAGTGATGATAAGCAAGTAAATAAGAATGAGCCAGAATTTGATGGTGATTTGGTGAAAGGACTCACCGTGTTCATCCAGTAAGATGTTGTCTGGCTTGATGTCTCTGTACAACACAGGAAAAAGGTCAGTTAGAAAAGTTAAAAGGCACTTGATGCTTCTAACTTTTATTAACCCTTATGCTGCGTTACATGTTGGCATTGAAAAAACGTTACGTGGCTCATAGCAATAGGCCACCAACAGCGGCATGCAACTACGATAATGTTGCCATGGTGACAGCATCACAGTGAAAATGGATGATTATCAAAGATGAGCTTTAGCAGTTTCGACTGTTTATTTATGGTGGAAAAAGTCAGGCGGGCGCTCTATACTCTATGAACCATTCGGTGTCCGTGGATCCCAAAAAAATCAACAGCCATTTTAATCTATCACTGCATTCGACAGCAAATGTCTGGAAAATTGAAGTCTTGATGGAAAGTTCCTCTGACAGCTGCGGTACACTGCAGTCGCTCTTCCATTATAAAGAACGGAATATCTGGTTTCCTCGCTGTTGATCGTCTACTGCCAACATAGAAACGCAGCATTAGAAGTTGCCGTTATCACCAGCAAGAATAAAATCATTGTCATTCTTTAATAGGCATTTATAGCTTGATAAAACAAGCACAGTGATTCTGGGCAGTGAGCAGATTCTTAACTTTTAATCCATACCACATTTGTGTTTTTAACTAGAATATATTTTATTGTGATTTGAATTTGATCAAAAGTTATTGTCTGCCTTGTTTTGGTTATTTTTTTGTACTGAAACAAATGGAAAAGTCAGAATCGCAGGACGTTCTGGTGCAAAAGAGCATCATCAGCTCATAAAGTGAGCTCAAGCTAAAGAAACAGATAGAAAAGGAGCTACACAAGCTGAAAAATGAACTGTGTCTGACGCAGTTATGTTCCTGTCTGTCACAGATGGATCTTACTGATGAAGATGGACAAGTCTGACCGGTTGTGTAACCACTGAGGAGCAGGGCGGTGGGGGGCAGTCGCACTGGGGCCCGTGGTGGAGGGGGCCAACTGGTCCCCCCTATTTGACCCCCTCAGGCTTGGACTGCTAATTGAAAGTATCAGAAGATGTTCAGGCTGGTAGCCTGACCTGTTAGCTGGGCTGTCCAGGCCAGCCATGCTAAAGATGATCTAAACAAATCCATTTAGATCCACACATCCACCGACAAACTTACTCCCCTGCCCCCCAATCTCTTAAGTGATGGGTCTTCTTAAAGCACATACAAGAAGAAGAGAGAAGAAGAGGAGGGAAGAGGAGAGAAGAATGGAACTAAGAGAAAAAGGGAAAGTGTGATCAGAATAACTAATTCAGCAAAGTCAGTCTTTAGCATCCTATAATAGCCAGATTTAATAAACACTGTAGTGTTTATTTACAATATAAAGTGATTATATTGTGATACCCCTCCATGATGTATGACAGTACCATAATCAACTCAGTCACTTCAACATTCCAGTGTAAATAACACTCCATTCCATACAGTAGTCTAATAAACATTTTTTTGAGTTCAGACAATGTCTTTAACATGGTGGTGGTAGTATGAGGGAAGACTGATTGAGGGAGGGGGGAGAACTCTGAGAACTTGGGCTGGAGTTCTGTGCAGCTTCTGCCTGTAGCTAGAAGGCCAGACCCCCCTCAAAGCTGTAGTAGGACTTATATAGGACTGAGGAACAGGGAGGAGATGAGGTGGCAGTGGGGATTGCAAATTTGGCCAGGGGTGTGTAAACTTTTGCATACACGTATATCCTCATTGTTTGCTATTTTTTATCTACCTAAACAAATTTGTGTTTTTTTTATTTCAGTATTGAGGAGCCTCTTTCTGTCACTGGTGCAGCAATCGATAATTTGTTATTGTAAGCATAAATCTTCAAAAATCAACATTTTAAAAATAATCACAGCTAAAAACAAGAAATTTCAATATAATAAAAGCCAAAAGTATCAAAAATAAAAAGTTACAACCAAAACAAGCAATTAGAATATAATTAAGGTTTTTCATGTGGCTTTGAGTGAAGCAGGTCCTACCCTGAGTCAACAGATCAGATTAAAATTCAATACTACTGAATAATGCACGGATCCTGGTCATTGCAACGGTCAACAGATCAGAGGTCAGTTTACTGAAAGTGTGATGGTCAGCGTTAGGCAAGTGAGTATCGCTTTGGATGCTCATTCTAAAAATACAAAGACCCACTAGGGCCTGTTCACTAAGATTGAATCACCTCTTCTGAAATTGAACTCATGAAGTCAGTTAAACTTTTTAAGCAGTTAACTTTTGTAGTAAAACAGACATTAAGTACAGGTTATTTATTTTTCAGGAGATATTTCTTAGAAGATTAACTATAAGACAATCCACTTGCATAAGGAAGGGGAAAGTCAAATGAAAATAAGTGAATAAACAAGACAAGCTACAGAGAAAATGGGCCTCCTAACAACCACCTGGAAGACCCGGTAGACACCAAAACTGCCCCCATCAGATAAACAGCACTTAAAGCTTTCATCTATGAGAGAGAGGAGAAAATCAAGCTGCTCCAGATCAGAAAACATCCACAGGTGTTTCTGTCCATCATCCCACTGTGAGAAGACGACTCAGCGCTATGGGTCTGAAAGGATGTGTAGCTGTCAAGAAGAACCTCACTGAGAAAAGGAGACGGACACATCAAAGAAAGAAGCTGAACAATGGACTGACCACCCCAGAGTCCAGACCTTAACATCACTGAATGTGTTTGAGATTATTTGGATTGTGAGAAGCAGAAAATACAACCAACTCCTAAGACTGAACTTTGGAGGTGTAAAAAAATATCCCTGCAGATTTCTATTGGAAAATGGAAAGCAAGTCTCCTGAAAAGAAAGGAAGCTGGTAGAAAGGTAAAATAAAGTTCCCCCTCCGCGCCTACAGAGGTCGCTCTCGCCTGAGTGCTAGCTCGGTTTCCTCACCTGTTCCTCATTAGCAGTCATGTTTGCGTATAAGAGACCTCAGTACTCTTTAGCTCTTTGTGAAGTCTTGTATTGACCAGGCCCTGCGTTTCTGAGCGCTGTTACTCCTGTGTTCCTTTCCTTTTTATCCTTGTTGTTGTGTTCGTTTCTGGTTTTTTGATTTTGGACTGTGTTTTTGGACTGTTTGCTTAAATCCTCTGCAGATTTCCCTGCCTGTTGATGACTATGATTTTGATTCAGTAATCCTGCTCTAGACTCCTAACCACTGTTGTGGGGGGGCTAATATGATATTATACTTTGTTGTTCAGACTTTTGTGTAATTTTCTAATTTCTAAATCAATTCATGGTGGAAAGGTACATGCAGGGTGTTGCAAGGCAAAATAGTCACTAAAGAAAACTTCAGATTTACTAACTGTTGTATTATTTCGTATATGCAAAAAATGTCAAAAGATGTGTAAGTTTAACCTTCATTTTGGAGAGTAAATTACCACCACTGTAAGGAACTACTACTCATCAAAGCACTCTGAATGACATCTCAATGCAGACATTCAGAATTCAGTGAAATTCCCCTTTAATGTTGAGCATTTAACTTGGATTTGAGTTGAACTGTATTATGGTAAAAAGTAAATTTAAATCAAACAGAGTGCACTCTAACACGTGTTTTGTCAAGTCTATGATCCTGTCAGGGGCGATAACCGCAGTGTATCATCCACATCCATCAGCATTTGGGTGTTTAAAGCAAATGTTACAGGGTTAAGGATTTAGTCCATTTGCTTGTTTTCAATGTCCACCCAGATCTCAACACCTTCCAGTAACAACACAGATGTCATAAAGACTGTACCGGGATAAATTACACACATTGGACCTTATTAATCAAAGTTGCATAAAAAGTTGCATCCATTTACAATGTTAGTGCAAATAAAACAAGCTGGTTTTGTTTCGGTGCCTTGATCTGTTGTTAATGATAGCTGTTCTGATTGGCTGCCTCATTCAAAAAGTCGGGCCTGAAACACTCCTTATAACTTCAGTGTGAATGGGCGGAGCTAAACTGCCATAGACTGAAAAGGATATATGTAAATGTATTGGTTTTTTATGGCATTGACAAAAACAATTCATTCAAAATGGCTGTTTTTGTAATTTCCATAAACAGATTATATAGACTGAAAAATAGAATTTGGTTTACCATGATATGGGCAGTTTAAAGCATACAGGTACTAAATTTCAGTCTTAAACTGTAAGGGTCCATATTCTAAATAAGTGGGCCCACATTCCTCACTATCATATCAGATTAGTTTCAGATTAGCACCGATTAATTTACAGTAGTCACTGAATAATAAGCAGAATTTAAGCCTTGTTGTCCATCATAATTCTGCATCCACAAAACTGGCTCATTAAAAAGTTAAAAAAAAAAAAACGAAACACCTCTCCATTGCTGATTCACCCAGCCACGGAAACAGGCTTTAATTGGACATGCTTTAGCATTGGGTGATTAGCATATGAAAGTCCAGGCACTGGCCGATAGTGTGGAAGCTCGCGGTGTTCCTGTGAGACTCCTGGACTCAGGTGTGTATGAAGAAAGGTCAAACATGCTGTGGCTAATTAGATGACATTTGCTTCTGGCTCAACTGCAAGGATCAGAGTGTTGCTGGGGAGCAACAGGCTGCACTAAGCTAACGATCGCTAAGCAGAGGTGGCTGGAGCCGCCTAAACCCACAGTCAAGAAAAACTTCCATGAAAAAATGACTAAAAACTGCTTGAAAAAACATATTAGGCCCAAAAAGTCCTGCAGAGGTTCCTACAGACCTGCAGTGTCAGTGCCAGCGTCTGTTAGCATACAAACTGAAGCTTCGGCTCTATTCTTCTCTTTTTGGGACACCTTTAAAATAAAACGCTAACGCTTCAAAGTGAGAGTATCTGTCACAAAGCAGTTCAGGAGCCGAAGCAACAGAACAGAAAGACATTAAACCCAAAAAAGGAGCTACATTTGAAGTAAAAAGTAGACTGAAAAAAGTATTACATTAACATATTCAGACAAGTAAATTCTACTTAAACAAAAGCAACAAGTTACTACTAGATGTAAATTTTGATATCTGAGTATCTGCAAGAGTTCATGAACACCGGAAAGG